TTATAAATCTGATGATTTTGGAATAGTAAAGATGGGCAACGATGGCTTGGTTAAAGTCATTGGAATTGGGGATGTGTATCTGAAGATGAATAATGGGACGAGGTTAGTTCTCAGAGATGTGAAGCATATTCCTGACATTCGCTTGAATTTGATTTCTGCAGGTAAACTTGATGATGAAGGGTATTGCAACACTTTCAGTGATGGCCAGTGGAAGCTCACTAGGGGTGCTATGGTTGTGGCTCGAGGCATGAAGTACTCTGCACTGTACGTTCTGCAAACATAGATCTCCAACGACATTGTTAATGCGATGGAGGATAATGATACAATAGAATTGTGGCACAAGAGACTGGCTCACATGAGTGAGAAAGGATTAGCTCTACTAGGGAAGAAAAGTCTACTATGTGGACTGAAAAGTACACTTCTGAAAAGATGTACTCATTGTTTGTCAGGGAAGCAGAGCAGAGTCTCCTTCAAGAATTCCCCTCATTCGAGAAAGTCAGAGATACTGGATTTGGTACATTCAGATGTGTGTGGCCCAATGAAGACGAGAACACTTGGTGGCTCCAGATACTTTGTGACCTTCATAGATGACCATTCAAGGAAGTTGTGGGTATATATCTTGAATTCAAAACCAAGTGTTGGCAGTATTCAAGCAATTCCAAGCCCTAGTTGAGAGACAGACTGGGAATAAACTGAGATGCATTCGTACTGATAACGGCGGAGAGTATTCTGGTCCTTTTGATGAGTATTGTAGACAGCAGGGTATCCGACATCAAAAGACAACTCCGAAAACTCCTCAGTTGAATGGCGTAGCAGAAAGGATAAACAGGACACTGGTTGAGAGAGTGAGATGTTTGCTTTCACAAGCCCAGTTGCCAAAATCCTTTTGGGGGGAGGCATTGAGCATAATTGTTCATGTGTTGGATCTTACACCCTGTGTTCCTCTACAGTTTGATGTGCCAGACCGAGTTTAGACAGGTAAGGATGTTTCCTATAATCATCTGCGTGTTTTTGGGTCCAAAGCATTTGTGCATATTCCAAAAGATGAAAGGTCCAAACTTGATGTGAAAACGCGACAGTGTATATTCCTTGGCTATGGCCAAGATGAGTTTGGGTACAAGCTTTATGATCCAGTTGAGAAGAAAATTGTGAGAAACAGAAATGTCGTGTTTGTAGAAGATCAAACGATTCAGGATATTGAGAAAGCAGGGAAATCTATGTCTCAACAAGGTGATATCTTGACTGATATGGATCCAGCTCCTCTGAAGAATCTGCCATCTTAGGTTGAGAATGATGTTCAGGATGACCACCAGTGTACAGGTGATGTGGATGTTCCCCTACAGGTTCAGGGAGATGTTGAGACTGATAAGCAGTTGACAGCGCCAGAGATTCCACCAGAGATTCCATCCAGGAAGTCTCCCAGAGACCGACATTCTTCCACTTGGTATTCAGCAGAGCAGTATGTGTTATTAACTGATGGGGGAGAGCCCCAGTGTTTTGTAGAAGCCATAAAAGATGAACACAAGATAGAGTGGGTTGAGGCTATGCAAAATGAGATGCAGTCATTGCATAATAACCACACTTTTGAGTTAGTAAAGCTACCTAAAGGAAAAGGGGCTTTGGCAAACAAGTGGATTTACAGGAAGAAGCCAAATGGGTTCTCTTCACGGCCACGGTACAAAGCTAGATTGGTTGTCAAAGGGTTCGGTTAGAGAAAAGGTATTGACTTTGATGAGATCTTCTCTCCAGTCGTAAAGATGTCATCGATCTGTATAGCACTCGGCCTAGCAGCTAGTCTTGACTTGGAAGTTGAGCAGATGGATGTGAAAACTGCCTTCCTTCATGGTGATTTGGAGGAAGAGATTTATATGAAGCAGCCAGAGGGTTTCAAAGTGAAAGGGAAAGAGGATTATGTGTGCAAGCTGAAGAAAAGCCTATATGATTTGAAACAAGCACCGAGACAGTGGTATAAGAAGTTTGAGTTTGTTATGGGGGAGCAAGGCTGCAAGAAGACAACTTCTGATCACTGTGTATTTGTTCAAAAATTCTCTGATGATAATTTTATTATTTTACTGCTTTATGTGGATGACATATTGATTGTTGGCAGGAATGCTTTAAGGATTGACCAGTTGAAGAAGCAATTGAGTAAGTCATTTGCTATGAAGGATTTGGGGCCAGCAAAGAAAATTCTTGGCATAAGAATCAGTTGTGATAGAAGTGTCAAGAAGTTATATTTGTCACAGGAAGAGTACATTGAAAAAGTGCTTCAGAGGTTCACTATGGACAACACTAAAGTGGTTAGCTCTCCTCTTGCTACCCACTTTAGACTGAGTACAAAACAATGTCCTTCTATAGATAAGGAAAAGGAAGACATGGAAAGAGTTCCTTACGCCTCTGCAGTAGAAAGTTTGATGTATGCAATGATTTGCACAAGACCAGATATAGCCCATGCAGTTGGTGTAGTTAGCCGATTCTTGTCAAATCTGAGAAGAAAGCATTGGAATGCAATGAAGTGGATCATGAGGTATCTTCGAGGCACTTCCCGTTTGAGACTTGGTTTGGGAAACGGACAACCATTGTTAGTTGGCTACATAGATGTAGATATGGCAGGGGATCTGGATACTCGTAAGTCTACTTCGGGTTATTTGATCACTTTTGCAGGTAGGGCTGTAGGTTGGCAATCAAGACTTCAGAAATGTATTGCTCTTTCTACGACAGAGGCATAGTTTATTGTAGCAACGAAAGCAACTAAAGAGTTGCTATGGGCAAAGAAGTTCTTGAGAGAACTTGGTTTCAAGTAGCAGAGGTATGTGTTGTTTTGTGATAGCCAAAGTGCTATTCATCTTGCTAAGAATTCCAGTTTTCATGCAAGATCTAAGCACATTGATGTACGATACCATTGGATCAGAGATGCGTTGAACAATAAGTTACTTGAACTTGAGAAGGTTCACACTGATGATAATGGTTCTGATATGTTGACAAAGACCCTACCAAGAGAGAAGTTTGAAGTTTGTTGTTCGATCGCCGGGATGGCGATTCCCTCCACATAGTCGGAAAGGGGGAGATTTGTTGGGTTTATTTCCTTCTATATGGAGGAAAGCCTAAGTGGGTTTTATTAAAAGCCCAAAGCCCATCCTATAGGGTAAATAACCCTAAGGAAGTCAGTAAGAAAAAAACAAAGGAGATCAGCCACAGTTTTTTTAAGAGAGAGAGAAAAACGCAGCTTTTATCATATACTGCTCAGGTTTCATCAAAACTCCGATCCCGCTTTGTCCGTGGTCCGATCGAGCTGAAATTTGGAGGAGAGGTTCACGACTCAATGAGTTACAATCTAACGGTGGAGATCAGATTTTGAGCTAGGGAGTTGGGGTTCGTGCCCGTGAACAGTAACCGGGTTTTTAGTATATTCTCTCCAATTCTCTTTGTTTTTTTGCCAAGATTGGTGATATCTTGATGAGATGTATTGTAGTCTCTAATTGCGATTAGAGAAGACTTTGTGTACCCATTATTTGGTTGATAGTGGAGATTTCAACTGGACTAGGTCCCGTGGTTTTTCTTCCTTACACTGGGGAAATTTTCCACGTAAAAAATTGCTTGTATTCTTGTGGCTTGGTGTGATTGATTTTCTTTTCTATTATTTTCAGCACATATAAAAGTAGAGATACACTATATTTGCTTGCATATAGGGAGAAGAGTTATTCTGTTGTATTTGTTTATTGTTCTCTCTCCCAATAAAGTGGTATCACTGACGCCAAACTCTCCACTAAAGTCTCCAGGTTCTCAGCTCGGTCAACAGACCCACTCTTCATGCTATCCGCTTCTCCATGGATGTCTAATCCTCCAGATTCGAGCTTTTCCTCAGTTGAATTGCTCTTCTTTTATTCTTTGAGAAACTCCTTGCTTTGTATCTCTTAATCATATATAATTACCGAAAAAAAAAAATCTCTTAATCAGATATGACTGAATCTCTCAATTCCACTGATTGAGCTATTTTGGGCTTTAAAAATAATTTTACTGAAAACTGTTAATTGATAGAACCTATATTGTTTTTGCAAATATCCCTTGTTTAAGAACTCATTTGAATTTCATGTGAAGACTTAGGATAAAATCCCCAATTTCGGAAAACATGTTTTGAAATAATTTTGAGCCAATTGATAATTAAAATCTTGGTCAAACAAGGTCTGTAAGGTCTCATTTACCTTTATCCTAGATACATGTTTTTGAGGTTTGAGAGATTTACAATGTGTTTCTTGCTGATCTCCATCTCCATCTCCATCACCTTTATGTGGTTGTCGACAAACAACTTAAGACTTTGAGACGCATTATAGCCCAACTGTTGAGTAGGAATTTGTTAATACACAACTCATTAACCAAACATTAGGATATGTTAATTTAAGAGATGTGCTCTTGTTTAATTTGCCGTGATAAAATATGTATTCTTTCTAAATTTTTTTGGTTAATGCTAGTTGAGAAATAATATTTTTCATATTTATTCATTTACTTTTCCTCGAGGGCGAGCCTTGGCGGAACGGTAATGTTGCTCCATTGTGACCCAGAGGTCACGGGTTTGAAACAAGGAAACACTCTCTCTGCATGCAGAGGTAAGGCTGTGTATATCTAACCCTCCCCAGACCGCACAATGGCGGGAGCCTCGTGCACTAGGTTTGCCCCTCCCAGACCGCACAATGGCGGTAGCCTCGTGCACTAGGTTTGCCCCTTTTTTTTATTCACTTACTTTTCCTCAGCCCTTTACTAGGAAAGGGTTTTAGGTTTTTGATAACATTATAACCGTAAATTGGAAAGAAGTTTTATAGGTTATTAAAAAAGATTCTTTATGCCTTTTGGGGTGAATGTGTTTTATGAACATGTGGCAGTGGCACTATCAGCATTAATGCAATAATGCCATTACAGGTTTGCTAAAAATACCATTTCACCACCATGTTCGTTTTTTCGGTTGGATACCGATGCCTGGATCTTATTACTCTAAATAATATGTGTAGGCAGGTATGGTCGAATTTGTCGGACTGATAAAAGTCAATGTGGTCAGAGGCACCAACCTAGCTGTCCGAGATATGATGACCAGTGATCCTTATGTCATCCTTTCTTTGGGACACCAAGTAAGCGTCTTTTCCTGATGAACTCTTTTCCATTATTATTATGCATAACTGAAAGGTGGGAAAGACGCAAGTAACAAGCCTTCTTTGTAAATTTGTTGCAGTCGGTGAAGACACGTGTCATAAAGAACAATCTGAACCCAGTCTGGAATGAAAAGCTAATGTTATCAATACCAGAACATATTCCTCCTCTTAAGCTGGTAAGTCATTTATCTAAAGTATCAAATAAGTATGCAATTTAAAGGAAACAATATTTAATAAACACGCATTAAATAAATAGTAGTTTCTGGGGGTATTTTGCATTATATAATAAATGGAATTCTGAGTTAGAACATATCATGGCATCTAACATTCAAGGCTGTCAATGTATAAAACAGATGTGAGATGCAGTGCAAAAGGGTTTGCAAAGTATAGATTGATGAAAGGATTTCTGAAGCTTATTTCTTGCTTGCATGTGTTGAGTTTGCATCTTTCGTTTCATTTCATCCATATGTTATATTTTAACTAATTGGATATGTTATATTTTAGCAATTCGGAGCATTGTGTTGAACAACCTAATGAAGTAAGAAGTTGTTAGAAACTACATACTGCATATAGGCATTTCTAGCGTTCCAACATTATCAATTATGATGTTTACAAGTGTCACCTTGAAAGTAAGAACTTTTGGAATGGTTCTTTACAGGCCGTGTATGACAAAGATACATTCTCAACTGATGATTTTATGGGGGAGGCCGAGATCGACATTCAACCGTTGCTCTCTGCTGCTAAAGCCTCCGAGAATTCGGAAATCAAAACCATGCATCTTGGAAAGTGGGTAGCGTGCAAAGATAACACCCTGGTAAGAGATGGTATCATCAGCCTCGTAGATGGGAAAGTAAAGCAGGATATTGCTCTCAAGCTGCAGAATGTTGAAAGGGGAGTGCTAGATATTGAGCTTGAATGCGTTCCTCTCATTCAATAGGAAAAAGTTGAAGAAATTGTAGTCAGATTGGTTTTCGTTTTCTGTTTGATTAGAGATTCCCTTTTGTTTGACAGCTGCATTCTAGGATGCATCATCTTGTTCGTGCCAAGTGTGTTCACTCGGTTATCTGCTTGTATTTCTTCAGATTCTGGATAGGCGAAGACATGTTCAATTAAAGGAAATTAGTGGATCCAGTTTTAAACCTTAGACCTGAATGGTATCATTTTAGACATTACTGCAGTCTGCTTGTATGCAGGCACTCATGATTTGTAAAGAAAATTACATTCATTCGGCCAAGTTCGGATAAACTCAACTTAGTTGAAAAGTTCTTGCCGGCCTACTTTGTATCTTACATGAAAACTGAGATGTCTGTGGATTATCATTTCATAGAAGCAAATGCAATACCAGTAACATAGTTTATCATCAGAACTTTGCAGCAAACAAGGTAGGACCCTCTGACCAGGCCTCTTTCTCTTTGTAGCAAAAGAGCATTTCAGAGCAAAATGACCTGACCTAAACAATTTGTATTCTGTAATTAAAGCCCTGCTAGCCCTACTTAGAAGCAATTTGGATCAGTCTCTTAGCAATTTTATAGAGCACCATATATATATTATGGCGTGGCATGTTTTGTCGTGTGATTGGAAATATTGTTCTATCATTTGGGATTTGCAAACTAGCACCAAGCCACCAACACTTCTCCACTAATGAGGTTTCTCATCTTCAACTCAATCCAAACTTCTTAGGGTTTTCATATATAAATTAGACCTTTGTATGGGGTTGAAGTTGGAAGTGGTCACATATAATAGGGAAAGAGAAACAAAGCATGAAACTGAGAAAAATGCTGAATTAGGAGCTATACCCTTTTAAACAATAATTTCAGGCCAACAACTCAAAACCAAACAATAAAAGCACCCCTGAAAAAAAAAAAAAAAAAAAAAAAAAAAAAAAAAAAAAAAAAAAAATCCCTCAAGTCCAAGTATTCTCCTTGTACATTTTACCTATTCAAATCAGCCTTGTATGCAATTCAACAGTCCAAGAGCTAGAAGATCAGAGCTACCAAAAACGTACCTGAAGTCCATGATTTTCAGAATTTGCAGACATTAACATCAAGTTCAAAGCAGTAGGCAGCACCAGTTCAGCAACCAGCTTGTAAACAAAATAGCCTCACCAACAACTAGTGTACAACCCGATACTAAAGTTCTAGTTTCCATCCTTCTTCACTGTAAATTAGATCCAGGATGAGGAAGCGTAAAGCAACACACATAAATCACTTAATGCGGATGAATTTTGGTTTCTACAGTAGATTTTTACTTGGAATAAGAAACAAAGATAAAGAACAGATTCATAAGAAGTCCAAAAGATCTCCCTGAAGCGAAATGCCACAAGTTTACTGCCAAAACCACCCGCACCACAATTCAAAATTTTAAATCTGGTAAGATTACTCTTGGCACCTTTGAGGCTTTTCACAACCCTCCCAAGTCTGCAACCATAACTATAGCACAAAGATCCCATAAGTGTTATACCACAAAAGAATTCTGTAACACCTTGTCAGACAGCATTATTGAGGATTCGTTACTGAACATAATAAATACCAATGATAAGATGAAAGCATTCAAGTGAATGTGACCCAAATTTGAACATGTATTACGTATAATTTGGGTTCAAAGGGAAAAAATCAAACTGTTTTTAAGCAATTAAAGGACAGATAAGAATAATGTCCTAAAATAATATCATAATTCTTAACAAATTCAATCATAAAATGGATGCAGTGTGCTGATTAACAAACTCCATCATAATTTGATAGACTGCATCTCTTTCTCAGGATTAAAGAAATGCCAGCTGGAATCGTGAAAAGCTCGAAAATAATCATCTGAAGGTGTCTCTATTCCAAACTCTTTTGTGAAGCTCCTAACAGCCAATATATGCTTCCTCAAATCAACAATAGTTGAGTTTTTTATGATGGAAACATGTTGCTCATATGTCTCAAAGCTGTTCCCAAACAGCACTATATGATTCAATAGATCCACTCTCCAATTTGCCTGTAGCAGATTGTCATACAACTCCGCCTCACAGTGTGGCATGTAGAACAGCATTGGTTTTAAAGCTTGTCGTCGACCTTGTTCATTGACTGATAGAACAGAACAACCAAGAGCTTTCAAAACCCTAGATTCTGTTACAGAAATGATTGGATCAAACACCTCTATTTCTCCAACCCAACGGAACTTTCTCTTCATCAAGATCGCAAGGCAAAGCTGCAATCGAGGGGGTTCATATGATTCAATGCTACCTATACCATATATCACCATTTGCATATTTGGCTCAGAGCCCATAACCCTAAAAATGCTATCCAAGATTTGAGGAGTCTGAATTTGATTTATAAAAGTGCAGTAAAACGGAGAGCTCTCCACTCTTTTCATATAGCTTTGCATCTTCTTCATCAATTTCGCTTCTCTATCAGGATCAGACATGACGTCGGGTGGAACCCAAGGCTGTTGTTGTTCAAGGTTTTTAATTTTGGAGAAATTCCTTCTCTGCCTACCACGACGAGGCAAAACAATTGTCCAGTCACCAGTTGACTTTGGCTTTTCAAGAGTGAGAATTTTTGCAGAAGCAGCCATTGCACCAAGCAAACTCTGCCCCCCAATTACAATTTAATACAAATTGTGTATTTGACTATTAGCGTATATGAAATCAATAACATGCTATGCCAAATTATGCAGCAACGATGTACGAGGGCTCGTTTGTTCATCAAATGCACGATAAACTGATCCAAACTTGATATTTTCCACCTGTTATTCACAGCAATGTAATTTCATTACTTCATTAAAAAACAATATACATGTATATTTATATTTATACATACATACACATCTAGTGTGTGTATATATATATATATATATATATATATATAGAGAGAGAGAGAGAGAGAGAGAGAGAGAGAGAGAGAGAGAGAGCGAGAATAGCACAATAGATACGTCAGGTTCCAACATTCCAGTTACTCCCCCCAACTCTTTCGGTCCTTCCCCTTCTTCTCATGATGCAACAGGAAACTACACATATTAAAAAACCTAAGAAGCTGAAGGTGTCAGCTAGGCCTATATAGTCTCACTAGAGACCTGTGATTGATTACCCATCCTCATCCAAATTGAATAATTATCGCAAAAAACTGCTACCTCCATTATGTAACCAAATATTTACGAGAGAGAAAAAAAAAAAAAGCCAAAAAGCTGAAAATGCACTTGAAAAAGATATGCATAAACATATCCAAACAAATCAAGGTTTAAGATGAAGTGATACATGCCAACACTTTGGACCTTGCGTTCATCTAGTTCTATAATATGGTTTGAATGCTCAAGCATAATGTTAATTAAATGTTGCTTAACAGTATACTTTGATTCTGTTTTCCATGAGAGTAGTAAATGGGAAGCAGTAGCAATGTAGCATGCTTTTATCAGTAGTTCTTGTTTCCTTTGCTTAAAGAAAAAATTACAACATAGAATTACCAAGATGTTGCATTTCGAAGCACTGAATGGAAACTTGGAACTGGAATTGGAAAAAATTTAGTTCAAATTACCAAATCAGCACCTTAGAATTGGAATTGGAAGATATTTAGTTCAAAGCTGGCAGGCTTGATAGATGAAGGCGAGGTGTCAAGTGGAGCCCTATAGGTCTTTAAGGGGTTTTCGTGCTTCCTTCCCCTTAGGACCATAGCTAGAATGTAATTCCAAACAGATTTCATAATGATTTGATTTTCGTGCACTGCCCCTTCCACTGGGTTTCGAAGAGAAAATTTCTTTATTGGCTCATAAGCTGACCTAGGTAAATCTAGGAACTCAATTCGATTATTCCTTCTTATTCTTACTAAGAATCTGAACCATGAATTGTATTCTTATGACTCATCAATCAGACAGATGAATTTTTTGAAAGGACTGTTCAAGGAACAACTCCCCTCGCGCTACCAGTTGATCCTAAAATCTATCCCTTATTCCATCAACTAATCTTATTTTATTCTTGGATCTTGTTCGTGAGATTGAAAAAAAAAAAAACTATAAATATCTTATATACTTGCTTTCGTCGCTAGCTCTATATGTGCTTGTTTAACTGAGCCTCCCCTTGCTTTGATTGCACTACGCTATCTTATAGCCGACTTACCCTTCCTCTCTATTTTTCTTCCTCCACTTCTTCTTGAGAGGGTAGTTGAGTTGGCTGCATTCTTCGAGTTCGTCGATTTGATTCCCAACACCTTTTTTTTTTTTGTTGGTATAGAAATGATGCTATTCAACAAAGACTCTGTGAGGGCCATACCTCTATTCAGACTTGGGGCCCCCATTCTCTTCGTTCGTTAGGCATCGGAGAAAACTCCTAATCCTTGATAGAGTTTTGAAGCCTTCGCAAGTAAATGAATCATATTTCCCTTTATCCTTCGTAAAGTTCCTAAGCCAGACCATAGGCAAGCTGGATTACCCTTTCACTCTTTCTTAAGCTCTGCCTTACCACTGGAGACTCAAAACAAGAAGAAACAGCAAGATTAAAGCGCCCTAGTTATAAAGCGCTAAGCAAGCGTAAGACTGTAATGCCACAGGAATCAATGGTAGAATGCCAAATTGCTCAACTATACTCTCAAGAAAAAGAAAGCGAGGATTTCATAGAGAGGTGAAAGTCACGATTAAAGGATGCAGCCCCATCCACTATCAATATTCATGAAGTTCATTCACTGTCTGCTGACCTGAACCGTAGCCAAAAGACGTTTTACTAAGGGGGTGGAATCTGATAGTTATTCCTCTAAGAGGTAGTAGAAGCGTGGAGTTCGGAAAGGGGGGCACGACTGACTTTTTGCAGAAAACCACTCCCTTAATGCAAAAGAGTGTACGATGCGATGCCAGGGGGCACCGACTTTTGACTGATAGAAAGCCCTCAAAGCAGATGATCCTTTATGGAGAAATAGGTAGTGAAGAAACACTTCAAGAGCTCTTGCTCTGCGTGTCCTACTACTTCATTCATTTATTCGAGGACTACATATAGTGGTGAACATATGGGATATAGCAAGCCTTGATTGCCAGGGCAATAACGATGAAGGAATTCCACAGCACCAGGACCAATACCTAGTTTTTGACGTCTAAGTTCCAAATGAAATCCGAGGAATGGAGTTCAAATTCAAATTTCATTTCAGTTTGAATTTTAATATCTAAGCTTAACCAGAACCAGCTAAAATTGCAAACTTTAGTTTAAAATATGATCCAAAAACGCTTACTTTAAAAAAAAAAAAAAAAAAAAAAAAAAAAAAAAAAATGAACTCAAAACTCAAAATGGACTTCCGCAGGCAGCAAGAAAAGGGTGGAAAATAAAGCAAAAGCAAACTCATTTCCTTTCCCCCAGTTTGGAACTGAAGAAAAAGAATTTCATTAGGTGGAATTTAAACCGCCCATTCCAAAACTTAATCATATTCATGAATTCCAAAAAAAAAAACCACTATTACTCTTAATCACAAAGAAAAAAGTTCAATAATTTTAAGCCAAACAACCAAAATACCCTATATTTTATAGAACCCATCTACGGTCTCATTCGCGATTTGTGCTCAATGGCGCGTAAATCAATTTCTTACCAAAGAGAAGAACTGGGATTGGGGTCCTGAATTTCAATATCAGTTATTGTAAATAAGATAAAAGAATGCAAGAAACAGAAATGACCAAACACGTACCCTAATTCTTTCGATTGTCCGAGAGACACATATCTTAGTTGGAAGAGTGACCGAGCTAAACCAGACGTTCTGGTGAAAAATGATCGGATGGATGAAAGAGAAGTGATGCGGCGGCGACACGGCGGAAGGAGAGTGCTGGACCGGTGGCGGTCGGCGGCGGCGGCGGCGGCGGCGGCGGCACCCTTATTCCTCTCGACCAAATGCGTCGGGAGCAAACGATAAAAATAAGGATCACGTGACTGCATGTGACTTTTAAGATTTCTCTGCGAACCAGAATCGAATCCGAGCTTGTGGGCCCAAACGGCGACACTTGTCCTGGTCCGTTTGGTTCCATGGGTTAGCTTTTATTGGGCCAGAAGTAATTTGTTTTGTTCGGCCTTGGGCCTCTGCTTCAGCTGAAGCTGAAGGCTTGTAATTTTTTCTCATCTCCACAATTTATTTAACCTTCCGAGAAAACAAAAATATGAAGTGGTTATTTTTAATTTTAAATTAAAATACTAATTTATTATTAATTAACTAAATCTTGTCACATATAAGACCTCAGTAACATAATTAATCAATTAAAATTTTATCATAAAAAAATATGAACACCATGTCATCTTATGATATTTTCTCTTTCCAAAGTGAAAAGTAGATAAATTTAAAATCTTTCATTAAGAATCCACTCAAAACGTGTAATTAATTTAACAATATTTATTAAACACTACATATCAAAATTTACTTGGTTTTTTTTTTTTTTTTTTTTTTTTTTTTTTTTTTTTTTTTTTTGCACAATTATTGTAGTGTTTACTTTATTGATTGTTTGATTTTCATTGTGTATAAGTTTAGTATATTTTCAGTCTTTTTTTTCAGGTATCAAAATCTACTAAGTGGCAAACTAATGATCAAATAAAATGCTAATATTATTAATAACAAAAGTTGTAGTTGGGTTAAGTGGTGCAAAAAAAAAAAAAAATAAAAAAAAAAAATAAAAAAAAAAATAAAAAATCCGTTTCGAACATGACTAAAAACATAGATTATTATGCTTGAAAATTTGAAACACATTTGCTTCATCCAATCTGAAGAAAAATGGTACCCTAAAATTTACCTCCTCCATTCAATATTGAAGAAGCATTTTCGGACCCCATAAAACAAGCTAAGTCTAGATGATTCAATTAGTGTTCAAAACCAAATAATCAACACACCATAAGCATTAAAAATACATACATAGAGTAATTAAACAACTAAAACATACATCAGTTTTCAACTTCAATTGTTATCACACATGATTGAATCTTGCACAACCCTCCAATCAATCCACAACCCCACACCCCAAAACCAAAACATAGTTTGGATACACATGTTTTACTACAACATGCCAAATTTAACACACAAATATAAAATATATATAAACCACAAAAGCACGTGGCTTAGTAGTATTTTCGGTATTTTCTATCCTTCAAAATGAAAGGTAGATAGTGGGAGTTATTTATCAATAATGAGCATTAACATAGACATAATGTTGCTGCTTCGTCCCCATTGGGTACAACCACAGTCAAGGCATTGCTCTTCATTGACATATCTGCAAGTAAGAATTACTCTTGAATTAATAAAAATTTCATAAATGAAAAATACAAAAAAAGTCTCATGTTACGTTCAGGAGCATTAAATTGGTGCTTTTAAAATTGAAATTGAAAGAAGTTTAATTCAAACAAAATCATCGCATTGGAATTGAAATTTAGAGATAATTTAGTTCAAAGTCGAACTATTAAAATTTTGTTTTCCCCTCAATGTCAAGATGTTGATTCGATGCTCCCAACCATAACACCATTAATTTAAAAAATGAAGTTGAAGAAAGACTCAACTGAGCGGAGTATCAGCTTTGTGCTTCTGAGTAGGTGAGGATGAGGAGGACCAATTTAACAATGAAGCTGAAGGAAGAATTTCAAGATTCGGATGCACTTCTCTAGCCTTTGCCTGATGAGCTGAAAGACCATATTACCACCCCCATGAAGAAAACTTATATTAGAGGTCTGGTTTATGAACTAGGAAAAGCACTCACAGACACATAAAGAAGACACAATGTTAATCCTGTAAATTTGTAGAACCTTGTGGCTAAGTATTAAAGAAGGAACTTAATCTAAACAAAAAATATTACTGTATTTTTTTTTTTTTGTCGAAAGTTCACCCACCCACCCACTATATACTGAGCAAAATTTATTTTAAGGAAAGTGATTTATACCATGCCTAGAGTAAATTATACTAATCCTTTTCTCTTCTCTTCCAAAATTTTGCATACTTTTTTCCAACAATTAAGAGAATTATAATTCATTTTCCACTGTGATGGATGGAGATTTTTTGAAAAATGGATGTTAAATTATTAAAATCATATCTAATCTAATAAAATACCTCACCTTTGAGATTAAATAATAGGAATATGAAGAAGACGAAGAAGAAGAAGACTGTAAGCTAATCCAATGACGTACTGATCAAGCTACCCCGGAACACAAGCGTGCACAAAATGAAAATTCAACATTTCCTGAGAAGGTAAAAATGGAAAAATAAGATAATTGAAAAGGCCAATCTCAATAGTATAAGATATGGAGTTATCAAAAAGGATGGATTTACCTTGTATGTATGTCACTACCATATAGAAACGTGGGGGATGTCAGCAATCTTTGGCCAATCTTCCCCAGTCTCTTTCTGGCATCTATGTATTAACTCTTCAGAACCAGATCCAATTGTGAGATGTTGTAACGCAGTGAGCTGATGCATGCCATCGGGCAGTGATGTCAATTTGGGGCAGGAATCAATGCTCAGCCGTTGAAGTGAAGTGAGGCTTAGAAACGACTCCTCTGGGAGAGTAACTAGATCGTCAATTATGGATAAATTCAGAGACTTTAAATTGGAAAGAGGAGGAAAAAGCAAAGAAGAAGATGAGGAAGAGGTTGCGAGTGTATCTGTTGGTGGGGTTGGGGACACCAATGTCATCTTTAACTCTTCTTCTACTACCTACTTGCTGACTTCATGGAGATCTAGTTGTTCAAGACATGGTTGCAGAATAGGCATTGATGCCAGATTAGGGCACCATCGGATGGATAATTGGGAAAGAGAAGGAAATGATGGGAGCTTGTTCAAATGTTGTTGTTGTTGGTCCTGTAAAGTTGTTGTTGCTTCTTCTTCTGCTTGGCTCCTCCACCATCCCTTCAATTTAGGCAATTTCCAGAGGTCAAGTGTTTTGAGGGATGGGAAGAATGTTGGTGTTGGTGCTCCTCCTCCACTGGATGAAGATGAAGAGCACAGAGAATCCTCACTACTACTCTTGTCCTCCATGTACTCCAAGGAATTCATAAACAAAAGACGAAGAAATTGGAGAGAAGGAAGTTGCCCAAATAGTGGAAGATGTTTGCTGTGACAATTGGACATATTAATTCTGACTAGATTTGGGAGAAATGAAGAGAATAAGCCAATTTTGTCAACCATCATCCAACTTGGCTGGAAACTCACTCCCCCATATCTATCTATTCCCAGCTCCTTCAGATTCGGGTGTGGACGTAGGGATTCCAACAAAACCCCATTATCTTCATCCCTATCAAATTGTAACACCAGCATCTTCAGGTATTGTTTGGCCTCCAAGTAGTTTGTAACTCCCTCTGCCGCTGTTGCGTCCTTTAAACACCACCACCTGCTATTACTACATGAGTGCCCACGAGGACGACCAAACATTTTAATGCTTAACCTTCCCCGTAAATTGTTTAGATTTTGTAGTTCACTCAACCCGCTGCTATTTAAATCCGCTACAAACCTTGTTAATGTCAAAAGAGACCTCAATTGTCCCAATCCAACTGGCATGCCAATCAAGTCCAAACACTCGTCAAGCTCAACATGATTAAGGTTTACCAATTTCTTAAAATCTCTGGGCAACTCTTTAAGACAGTGACAGCTATTGAGTTTCAGAGTTTGCAAATTTTGCAACTTGGTTATTGAACTTGGCAGATATTTGATGAGATAGCTGCTAAGATCAAGATACCTTAAATGTTTCAACTTGCTTATGTAATTCGGCACGGTCTTGATCTTCATATTGGGCAAATCCAATAAGCGTAAACATTTATGAGTTGAAACAATCCTTTTGAAATCCTTTTTTTCTAATCTTTGATCCTTCAAAATCAATGTTCGTAACTTGTTACCTCTCACCAATTGGGTTGAAATGTAATAAGCAAATGACACATGGCGAGTTCTTTCGGTAACATTTTTTGTATCTGAATTTGAGTACTCAAACCTTGTCACTAATTGTGCTACGTCGTGGATAAGATCATGCATTTTGCACCATCTTATATCACCCCTTTCATCTCTTTGTACATCTTGAAAAAGGGACCTCCTCAATAAATCCATAAAATACAAATCACCTACATCTTCCAATTGTTGATTTTCATGCAGTAACGGAATGAATCCATTTGCAATCCACATTTGAATTAATTCATGCTTATCAATTTCTTGATCTTTCACGTATAAGGAACAAAATGCAAAACATTTTTTCAAATTGGAAGGCAAGTGATCATAACTTAACTTTAGTATCGGTAAAACATCATCTTTTTGAGCTATTTTTGACAAATCATTATTTTTGAAAGCCACCCATTCATTATCTGTATCCGTAGAGTATAGTAGGCTTCCTATAACCCTAATGACAAGGGGAACTCCCTTAGACTTTTGTCAATTTCCTCCCCAATTGTTACTCGACATGTATTCTCCAAGTCCTCCACATGTTTGAATGCCATTTGCTTAAATAAAGACCATGACTCCTTCTTAGACAAGCCTTCTAAGATATATGGTGAATTTGCGCTTGTAACATTTGCAACTAATTCACTACGAGTTGTTACTAAAATCTTACTTCCCTTTGAAGCACCTTGCAACAAAACTCTTAGTTTTAGCCATCTTTCGCGATCCTCATTCCACACATCGTCCAACACAAGCAAATATTTCTTTCCGTGAATTTCTTTCCTAAGGGTTTCTTGCAAGTTATCCATGGAAAGGTCTTTTTCAGGCTTTTTGGATGTTGCAGACTCTATGATCTTTTCAACAATGAGTTTCACATCGAAGTCATCAGACACACACACCCACATCTTAAGCTCAAAATGTTTAGTAACACTCTCGTCATTGTATACTAATTGTGCAAGTGTGGTCTTTCCTAGTCCCCCAATCCCAACTATTACAACAACGGACACATTCTCTTGAACATTACCGTCCAATAAAAGTTGGCTAACTTCCATTTTATCACCATCCCTCCCAATAACAGATTCTGCCTGAACGAAAGAGTGAGTCTCCTCCCTCTGAACTATAGTATTTTCTATAGTCCGTTCCGTGAGGTGAAACTTTCTCCTATCTTCTGCAATTGCATCTAGTCTCTCCCTGAAGGCCTTAATATCATGAGCCATCTTAATACTGAACGCAAGCTGGTTTAAGCTTGAGAAGAAAATGCGTACCTGCTTTAGGCTTTTGTTCTGAGTCATAACCTGGCGACGGAGAAGTTCAGTAGAGAAGTCGTCGAGCAAGTCATCAGCATCATAAAATGCATCGTTGAGCTTTTGGAGCCAATCTTCTATCTCAGGATTTGAGGCTCGCTGCTGCTCTGCATGAACAAGTACAGCTCCGATTGTAGAAACTGTGTTTTTGAGTTTGTCAAATTCATTCCCGACCCCTGATACAAGCCCGATCTCCTGGACAACCAACGAACCCAACTTCTTTAGGATTTCAGTGACAGTGTAATAAATAACTGATTCAGCCATTTTCTTCAGATCGTATACAGATTGTTTGTGACTCTTGTGAAAGTGTTTGTTGGAGGAGGTTTTATTATTGATTATGAAGTAAAGGCAATAGAAGCTGTGCAAATAATGGAGGTGGTCTAAATCTCCTCAAGTGGGTCCTCATTGATTGCAAATTGCAAGACATAGAAAAATATGCGTCATCAAAGCCCCTTGCATTTCAGGTTGTACTGGATACTCGTACAAGGTTTGACAAAGATGTGTGAATACTAATTAACGAATGTATATTCCATCTATAGAATTTTTTGTGAACCTTATTATGTCTGAATCGGTTGGATGAGTATGATGGAAAGGAAAGGAAATATGATGATTCAGAAAAATAAAAATTGGACCGACAGAATTATGTGAAGAGTCGCAGTCAGTCTGGTCCCTCGTTGATTGCAAAATGAAAGGTCACATTCAAGTAGGTGCGAACAAGTAGGTGCATTAAGTGCACTTTTGTCAAAAAAAAAAGAAAAAAGTGTGACTTCTGTGTGGAAAAATTCCATTGACCTTTTCCTTCTCTCTAGAAACCTCCACCGATTCACTTTTCGGTCGGCTTCCACTTTGCCTTTCTCATCTAGTTTTTAAAAGAATTGTTCTGGGTTTGGGTGATTTTTTACTTGTCGGAGGCGTTTTGTGGATCTTATTTCGGAATTGTTACCTTAAAGAAGACTTGATCTATGTGTCACTTTCATTGTTGCTTGTTTCATATAGTGGTGTCCATTATTTTTTTCAGTGAATTTGGACCTTGGTTTTCATTTTTCTTATTTTGTTTTTTTATAACTTGCCTTTGTTGCATTTGCTGTATGGCTATTTTTATTGCCAGGAAAAAAAAAAAAAAATTTCTTGAAGTTGGACTTGCCGGAAAATCAATTAAGTCGTGAAATTTTTTTTTTGCCCCATTACTCCTTTTCTCCACCCTTAACTTCTCGAGTAATTTAGTAGAATGACCATTACCTTCTCGAGTAATTTAGTAGAACGAATTTCACTTTTTTATTTTGTTTTATTTTCTATCCATATTTGGAGAGAAATGTACTAGAAGAAATTTAATTATTTTTGTTGTAATGGCATATTATAGGAGTGGGCAAATAATACATAAATCCGCGAATCTAATTCAATCCTTTTCATTCGTGCAGATCGGATCGAATTGCTACACCCATGGATTAGTGATGTATTCAAAAAAATCGAATTCATAGTTCACGGATCGAATCACGAATTGAACTGTTAAAAGTCCGATCCGATTCGTGAAATTTATATATATAAATATTTAAATAATTTAGTAGAACGAATTTCACTTTTTTATTTTGTTTTATTTTCTATCCATATTTGGAGAGAAATGTACTAGAAGAAATTTAATTATTTTTGTTGTAATGGCATATTATAGGAGTGGGCAAATAATACATAAATCCGCGAATCTAATTCAATCCTTTTCATTCGTACAGATCGGATCGAATTGCTACACCCATGGATTAGTGATGTATTCAAAAAAATCGAATTCGTAGTTCACGGATCAAATCACGAATTGAACTGTTAAAAGTCCGATCCGATTCGTAAAATTTATATATATAAATATTTAAATAAATAATATTAATTATAAAAATAATATTATAATTAAATATTATAATATTAATAAATTAAAATTTTATTATTAGGTTATGGTTAAAAGATAAATAAATAATATTAATTATAAAAATAATAATAAATAATTTAGATAAAACTCAATCCGTAGATCTAATCTGTTTTTACACGGATAGCCCCACCTATTTTTACAATGGGGAGAACCATGCAAATAATTGAAGACTTAAGTTCCACAAGTGCGTCTTCATTGATTGCAAATTGCATAACAATGAGAAATATCTTAGATATTGTGGATTGGTATTGATGGCAAATTAGGACATCATTTGTTTTGATATAAAATATTTTTTTTTAGATAAAATATTTTATTATTATTATTATTTGTTTTTGGTGTTTGAGTATTATGATTGAAGCTAGAGTACACATGCCTTCCTGACTTCCTCACCAACCGGCTTTGAAAGATTGCTTCTCTGCTCACCTGATAACAGGATTTATTAGACTGATATTTGCCACTTATATGCACTTTGACTTTCAGAGTGAATCTCAGCCGTTGGTTGGATTTCTGCAGATGGGGTTTTAGTATAATAGTTGGATAGATGACACCATCAGACCCATCACCATCATTTTTTAAATTTTTGTATGGAAGAATTGCAATTTTGACTTGTGACTTAGCTACCTAGTAACCTAACAACTTTGACTCAGCTATTTACAAAAGTTGACAAAAGAATGAAACTAATTACAAAGGCCCCCTTTGGTAAACAGTTCATTGCACTTGAAAAGATGCATAATTTATGTTTTTATGTATTTATTTGTATAATGAGCAGATCATAAAAATTCTTGCTAATTTTTTCTTGTGAAAACGACCACTAATAATCTGTTATAAATAAAAGAATTAAGTATCAAAGATATTTCCACCATCCACATTAGTGAAAGAGATTAAAAAAAAAAAAAAAAGAAAAAAAAAAAAGAAGAAGAGTGTGATTAGCAAAAAAATCCCACACTCGGAGCAATTGAGCCCTCACCTTCATTTTTCAAAGTTAAGAGTAGATACCACTAGACTATAACCCTTGGCAAAGAAATTTTTAATTGAATCAATGATAAGTGATAGAGGAAAGCGAAACCTTAATGGTTTTTTAACTTTTTTTAAGCTTGTTCACATCGGTGGGATTGGAACATGGATCGATATCGGAGTCCACGCGGCCCTATTACGTTTCTGATTTTCCCCATTTTTCATTTTTTCGGGAATTTTGTTGTTGTAAGGGCATTTTTGTCTTTTCACATCTTGCGTACTGGATACCGTGGGGTATACCGGATGTGTCAAAGAGTTGTTTGGGGCATTTTATTAAGTTCAGAGCTCTTTGAAATGTAAGGGTTGCCGTTTCAGTATTTTTCCATTTTTCGGGCCGGACGGTCCCGTGTGGGACCCGTTACCGGTATTGTCTCGTACGGGAATTTTAGTTGGGTCCATTTGCATATCATATATTTTATTTTATGTGCATCATGTGTTTTATGTGGTATGTGTATAATTGTTGTATATTTACATGTGTGGTGGAAAAAGAAAAGTCAAAAATTAAAAATGTTGGTGGTGGGACCCACCACTCACATATTTAGTGGCCTAGAGACCACATTTGGTCTCTCACTCTCTCTCTCCCCGTAACTCACTCTCTCCTCCTCTAGTTCTTTACTTTTTTTTTTTTTTTTGGAAGCAAACTTCAAGTTTTGATTCCTCCTTCATTACTTGGAATTTTTGGAAACCGTTTGCAGTGTAGCGAAGAGCACGGTGAGAACTTCACATCCGTATAAGCAATTTCAGTTTTAGTGCACTCTAGGGATTCCGGTTTTTGGACCATTTTGGGGGGTTTTCATCCTCCTTGAGGTAGGGGTTTCTAATCCATGCATTCTTGTGCTTATGTGAGTTAAATTCTTGTTATTTGTTGTTGATATGCTAGATTGTGTTGATTTTGTTTTAAAATGTCTTAAATGTATATATGAAGCATGTTATTATGTGTATTACTTTCTTTGGATGGAAAACATGTTTAAGTGTTAATTTTCTATACTCATTTTATTGTTAATTTGCTAAAAATATTATGTGAGAGCATGTGAAATTTTCTTGTGTAGTTTAAGTTGAAGAATGATAAATACATATGTATGGCATGACATGTCCATGCATGAGCATTGGGAGGGAAAAAAATGGGAATGGCTTGTTGGAAATAAAAAGGGGAATTTTTGGGAAGAAATTTTGATTAAAATGTTTTATAAAAACCTGGTCGCCGCGGAGTCACCAAAGGGCCGTGGTGTTAATATAGCCTAGAGAGAACTAGGGAGAGTACCCTAGCGTAGTTGAGTTATCTGGGCCCCAAATGACGCTGCGGGTGTACTAAGGGTCAGGAACAGTAGCCAATCCTTCTCTCGTGTCGCTGCGGAGTCACCAAAAGACGAGTTATATTAACAGTTTGAAAAGTGATGGATTTGGATTTTGAAGATGGGGAGCGACATACATGGCATTGCATTTCATGGCACGGCATTGTTCACTTTGGATTTTGAAATTGATGTTGTATTCTTTCCCAGCGTAGTATGACCCCTATCCTCTATTCATATTCATTATTTGGATTCACGAGGTTACAAGAGGTGTATCTTAAGCACCACATACTGAGCAATTTGCTCACTCCTTCATATTTAACGTTTTTCAGGTCATGGGAATGAAATGGCAGATGACAATCCACCGTAAGCTTGAGGGTGCTAGAAGTCCATTTTGTTAACTTTTGTATCTTAGAGCCATTCTTTTGTAAAAGCATATTTTGGGATGTAATTAAACTTGCTATCATGGCCTAGTGCTTCAACTATGTGCTTTAGCACCATTTTGATGTAAACTAAATAAAATGTAATGACTATGATGAATCTTTATTTAAAAGCACTTTGATGATGTTGTGTCTTGTTAGAATGTTGATGCTCACAACGATGGAATATGGTTTTAGCACTTAAAATGTTTTGAGATCAAGTCTAGAGCATTTTAAAAAGGGTCTCTTCATTATTATTCCATTTTAGCATTTTCCAGTAGCAGGTGTGGCACGCAGAGCTATTTCGGTCGACCGAAATGCTTGCTTTGATTGACCGGTTCGTCCAGAGACTTCAGTGGCTGTTAAAGTTACATTTCGGTCGACCGAAATACCTGTTTCGGTCGACCGGTTTTCAAGGAAGTTGTTTCGGCCGACCGAAGCTCTACTTCGGCTGACCGAAGTGCATCTGCCCTGCACATTTTGTTCTTCTCTTCAATGTAATTAATCCTAAGCCATGGAGATTCATTTTGAGCCGTTGTGGAAGCCTAATGATGATCCTAAAGGTGATTTTTTGACACTAACAATGACAGGTTTGACATAGATGACCTCGGGTTCGAGTAAGGACCCGGTTAATGGTTCGGACCTCTGGGTTCGGGTCGTTACAAAATGGTATCAGAGTCTCGGTTCGAAAA